AAGTCGGCAGCCAGGTTTTTGACTGCAGGTCTCCAGCTGCATGTATATTTCAGTATCCTTGTTATGTACAAACAAGGGCAATGGCTTACATATGGCTATTTAAAGAAAGCCATGCATGAAATAACTTCTTGCCAAACTGTTCCAGATTGGAGAGTTTTTGTTCTATTGAATTTCACTTAAGTAGGGTTTTATTGGCACCTCGGCCTCCTCTCTCCCCGCAGGCCCTGAGGAGGGAAGTCACCTGAAGGTCAGGCAGGATGTGAGCCAGTCTTCAGGTACACAATTTTGCAACGGTTGTGGAGCTCCCAGATTACGAATCAAATCCTAACAGATAGGAGGAGGCAGGAAGCCTGGTTGACAGGCATTCTTCATGACCCCCTTCCTTTAGGAAACCTGACAACAGGAAATCCCATTGGATTGAATAATAGACTAATTCACTGTTTGTGTTAAAGTCTCCTGGGGGTGCAGCAGGTTAAACTGCTGAGCTGCGGAACTTGCTGACCTAAAAGGTTGGTGGTTCGAATCTGGGGAGCAGGAGGAGCTCCTGTTGTTAGGCTCAGCTTCTGCCAACCTAGCAGTTCGAATACATGCAAATATGAGCAGGAAGGTAACGGTGCTCTATACAGTCATGCTGACCACATTGTAAGGGATCACAGGTTTAGGGTGTGGGGCCCCTTTTCGAAAAAATCCACAGAGTCCAATAGGTTAAGGTAAGGCACCGTTTATTCAAGCTGATCTGCACCGTTTATTCTGCAAGAGCTTCCACAGACTGCCGCTCCCTCCTCTGTTTTTGCAAACTTTTATATACCCTCAGGTAAACAGGAATATTTTTGTCATGGAAAGTACTTTGACCTTTACTCTTCCTGTCCATCAACCTCTTGATGGAAAGTACCTTCTTGCTCCTGCAAACTTTGCGCTTAACCACAAACCAACTTCCTATGTAAACTCGAACTTTGTATGACCTCTACATGTCACCTCTTGTTTTTAAAACATTTTCTTCCATGCTGCTCCTTTTCTACAGAGAAAGGATACATTTCTCCTTTGTTGCTAATTTCATTCAAAGCCCCTTGCTTAGCTATTGCTAATTTCACTCAAAGACCCTTTCAACATGACCTTGGAGGGGTCTACGGACAATGCCGGCTCTTCAGCTTAGACATGGAGATGAGCACCATTCCCCAGAGTTGGGCATGACTAGACTTAATATCAGGGGAGACCTTTACCTTTACTAACTGTTTGTGTTACTTTATCCTGGTGTCTGAACATCCCAAAATCTTATTGAGGAATTATTCTGTGGAGAGAGCACATACTTTATTTGCAGAATAACAACAACCACCCTCCTGTTTTCTGCACAGAAAATGTTTTTTCATGATTTTCTTCTTCACAACTTTTCAACAGAACATCAGGACATTTGAACAGAAAGAAAATAAAGCAGAGGGATATTAGTTTATTCTTGCACTGGGGAGAAAACTACCATAATTATTTGTTTTTGGCTGCAACTCCCATCAGTCCAAACTAGTATAACCAGTACTAAGGGAAACTGTGTTTTGCACAGCTAAAAACATCTGGAGAGCTAATGGTGTCACCTCTTTTTTGAGACTGAGAACGGGAATCTTTCTCCATCCAGATGAGAGTATTTTTACATGGAGGAAAAATCCACGGGCTTTAGCACAGCTGGTTAATCATCAGCAGCAAGAGATCTTTCCCAGCCAAAAGGTTGGGAGTTCGAGCCAAATCGAAATGAGCGCCCAATCTTCAGCCCAGCTTACTGTCCACCTAAGCAGTTCAAAAATAGCTGTAGTGGTGAGTAGAGAAATTGGGCACCGCTTAAGCGGGGAGGTATTTTATGACACCGTAAAAAAGCTGGCGATCAAAGAAAAAGAGGAAAAGTCTGTGATCAAAAAGGCTTGTCGTCACAGGGGATGGAGCGACAGCACCCCCCTGTGGCCGGAATCATGCATAACCTACAGGACGCCAAAGTTGGAAAAATGCTGAGATACACATCTCTGTCTGTCTGTCTGTCCTGTATGTCTAACAAGATTGAATGTTTTCCGTGTATGTGTTCTGTGCACCCTGAGTCCCCTTTGGGGTGAGAAGGGCGGAGTATAAATGCTGTAAATAAATAAATAAGGGCACAATAGTGAAGTGAAGCTGCTCCTATGAACTTCACCATCAGGATTCTGCTTCAGAGCGAGATCTGTCAACATCTGTTTTGTCCAGATTTACAGGACCGGGCTTCAGATTTAAAACAGAGGCGCAGCCTTGGCAGTTCCAAGTGAAATTTTATGCACGCTATATCTCTGGATTACCCAGAGTGATCTTTTGTCTGTCCAAAAATACATAGTGAAACAGTTGAGCTTTTCAAAATATAGGTTGCAACACCTCTCTGCACTCTTTCAGCATCCAAAAATACCAGTTTTTGGAAAAGCAGAAGTTGACATCTTCGTCACTTTGGGGGTTTTAGTTTAGTTTTCAGTAGGCCATACTAAAGGTCTCAGGCCAGATAAGAGACCCCTAAACCTAGCTTTTCCGTCCTAAGTTAGATAAATAAAGTAAGCATAGGGTTTCTGAGTTTTCTGAGCTGTCAGGCCATATTCCAGAAGCATTCTCTCCTGACTTTTCACCCACATCTATGGAAGCATCCTCAAAAGTTGAGAGGTCTGTTGGAAACTAGGCAAGTGAGGTTTATATACCTGTGAAATAATGTCCAGGGTGGGAGAAAGAACTCTTGTCTGTTTGAGATAGGTGTGGATGTTGCAATTTCCCACCTTCATCAGCATTTGATGGCCTAGCAGTTTTCAAGGACTGGCTTCTTACTTCCTGTGGGAATCCTTTGTTGAGAGAAGATTTGTTGGCCCTGATTGTTTCTTGTCTGGAATTCCCCTGATTTTAGATACTGGTAGTCAGATAGTGTTCATTTTCATGGTTTCCTCCTTTTTGTTGAAATTTTCCACATGCTTGTGTATTTCAATGGCTTCTCTGTGTAGCCTGACATGGTGGTTGTGAGAGTGGTCCAGCATTTCTGTGTTCTCAAATAATATGCTGTGTCCAGGTTGGTCCATCAGGTGCTCTGTTATGGCTGACTTCACTGGTTGAGTTAGTCTGCAGTGCCTTTCACGTTCCTTGATCCGTGTTTGCGCAATGCTGCTGCGTTTAGTGTTCCCTATGTGGGCTTGTCAACAACACAAAGTAAGCATAACTAAAATCTGCTCAACCTCCCATCTGGCCCAGAGTGCCTTTGTGCATTGAAAGCTTTGTGCACCAACTACGGTCATAAGGCAGAATGACCACATCCTTCTTGTCTTTCCGATGGCAGGCTAAGCCAAGTTTTTGAAACAATGGACTGTCAGAATTGTGTTGTTTTTAACAGAGCTACTTTGAAGACGTTTTAAAATCTTTTTGATGGCATACTGATCTTTTAACTTGAGGTGTGAATGGTTTTAGTACTGCAAATAGTTTGCTTCTATTTTAATGCTCACCTTTAATATGCTTTCAATTGTATTGGGGTTTTTTTTAAAAAAAATGGTTAGCTGCATTGAGTCCCATTTCGTGGGGGGAGTGGAATAGCAACAATTCTAATTAGCAAAAACATTAACAACATGATGCACACACAACCAAAACTCAAAATCCAGTGACAGTAGCACCATCATTACTTGAGTTCAGAATGCTCTTTGGAGCCCCCAGTGGCGCAGTGGGTTAAACTCCTGTGCTGGCAGGACTGAAGACCGACAGGTTGTAGGTTCGAATCCGGGGAGAGGTGGATGAGCTCCCTCTATCAGCTCCAGCTCCTCATGCAGGGACATGAGAGGGACAAGGATGATAAAAACATCAAATAATCCGGGTGTCCCCTGGGCAACGTCTTTGCAGACGGCCAATTCTCTCACACCAGAAGCGACTTGCAGTTTCTCAAGTCCCTCCTGACACACAAAAGAAAAAGAATGCTCTTTGATTGTAGGTGAGCTATAAATCCCAGCAACTACAACTCCCAAATGTCAGGGTCTATTTCCCCCAAACTCCACCAGTGTTCACATTTGGGCATTTTGAGTTTTTGTGCCAAGTTTGGTCCAGAACCATCATTGTTTGAGTCCACAGTACGCTCTGGATGTAGATGAACTACAACTCCAAAACTCAAGGTCAATTCACACTAAACCCTTCCAGTATTTTCTGTAGATCATGGGAGTTCTGCGTGACAAGTTTGATTCAAATTCCATTGTCGGTGGAGTTCAGGATGTTCTTTGATTGTAGGTTAACTATAAATCCCAGCAACGACAACTCCCTAATGGCAGCATCAATCCCAAACCCCACCAGTATTAAGTTTGGTTCAATTCCATCATTGGTGGAGTTCAGGATTCTCTTTGATTGTAGGTTAACTATAAATCCCAGCAACTACAACTCCCAAATGACAAAACCAATCCCCTCCCAATGCCACCAGTATTCAAATTTGGGCGTATTGGATATTTGTGCCAAATTTGGTCCAGTGAAAGAAAGCACATCCTTCATATCGGATATTTACATTACGATTCATAACAGGACCAAAATGATAGTTTTGAAGAAGCAGCAAAAATAATGCTATTGTTGGCGGGGTCACCACAACATGAGGAACTGGATGAAGGGGTCGTGGCATTAGGAAGTTTGAGAACCACTGACTTAGAAGATGTGAGAGTGAAGCCTTCTTTTAGATGACCGAGTCGTGCTCTTGTTAGAATCATAGAGCTGGTATGTTTAGCTTGGAGAAGAGGAGTCTGAGAAGTTCCATGGTGGCTATCTTTAAATATTGGAAGGGGTGTTTGGTAGAAGAGGGAGCCAGTCTCAATCCCACACTCGAGGCATTTCCCTTTATCGGCAGCATAAAGGGAAGAGAGGGCTGCCAGGCACCCACCCACCTCCCCACCCGCGCACCCAAATTGATTTTGTCAGAATGGCGAATTGCATCTTCATTCATTGTGCTCTCCACCCCGGTGCCTGTTCCCTTTGTAACACCTTCTCTTCTGTCTTCACTCAAGCGACGCTTCTGATGAAACAGGCCTGGCCTCAGACATCGTCCTCTTGTGCCACGGAGGGTACCTTTCACCTCCCAGTGGACACTGGGACCGAGAACAGGACTTTCCAAGCTTCATCAGCTGCATTCAGTAAATAGCATTTTACTTCTGGGGTTATTCATGCTTGTTTGATTTGTCTCTTTCTCTCTTTCTTTTTTTCTCTTTCATTTGGGAGCGGGTTGTTTTTGGCATTTGTTCTTTTCATTATAATTCTTTTTTTTCACATTGCATCATACTGGGGGCCCCAACCAGTTGATTTTTAAGCAGGGACCCACTTCCATTTTGGGGATGGTGCTGTTCTCGGTCCTTGAAACAAATGTGCCTAAGTGCATTTGCATTCCTACTTCACTGTTGTTGGGTACCTTTGAGTCATTTCTGACCTATGGCAACCCTACAACCTATGAACCAGTGCGTACCTTGAGATCATTCGTGGAGGCACTGCTCTCTCTCCCTCCGCCATCTTAAACTCAGTTGGTGGGGATGAGGGAGAGGGCCTTCTCGGTGGTGGCCCCATGGCTCTGGAACTCCCTCCCAAGGGAGATCAGACAGGCTCCTACTTTGTCCTCTTTTCGGAGACAACTAAAAACCTGGATGTGTGCTTTTGATTAAGCAGTCCATCAGTAATTTTCCTGTCCCTACTTCAGTTCAGCACTTTATGTTGGATAATAAGGAGGGATTAAGGAAAAGCCTATTAAATATCAAATTATGTTATGATTTTACAAATTAGGCACCAAAACATCATATTTTATAACAAATGGACAGAAAAAGCAATTCAGTACACGGTAATGTTATGTAGTAATTGCTGTATTTATGAATTTAGCACCAAAACAGACAAGGGTTCTTTCTTTCTCCCACCCTGGACATTGAATATACACTCCACTTCCCTCACCTGGGGATCCGGGTGGGAGGCAGACAGCATTGGATAATACAGAATGTTGGATAAGCAAAGGTTGGATAAGCAAGACTCTACTGTAATAACCTGCACTTTGAATTGGGCCCGGAAACTTGTTGGGAGCTAGTGAAACTGCTTTAATTGGGGTGTGGTATGCTCCTTATAGCTAGCCCCAGTTAGTAATCTGCAGTTTCTGAGCCGTCTTCAAAGGCAGCCCCACGTAGAGTGTGTTTCAGTAGTCTATTCTGGTTGTAACTGAGGCATGGACCATCGTAGCCAAGTCGGGCTTTTTGAGGTATGGCTGCACTTTTAATTGTGTGAAGGCCCTCCCAGCCACCCCCGATACCTGAGTTTCAAGTGTCATTGATGAGTCCAGGGGAAGTGTAACCCTCTTGAGCACAGATTGCCACCCTATACCCTGATCGGCCTTGCAACTTACCAGGAGGACCTGTGTCTTGTCTGAAGTTTGTTGGTCCTCATCCAGTCCATCACAGCTTCCAAGCACTGGTCCAGGATCTGGGGAGCTTCCTTGGAATGGGGTGGAAAAGAGTAGTAGAGTTGGGTGTCATCTGCGTAGAGATGGCACCCAACTCCAAAACTCTGAATGACCTTGCCCATCAGTTTCATTTAGATCCGCATTTCTCTACCTGGGGGTTGGGACCCTGGGGAGGTCGCAAGAGGTTGTCAGAGGGGTCATCAAAGACCATCAGAAAACACAGCATTTTCTGTTGGTCATAGGGTTTCTGTGTGGGAAGTTTGGCCCAATTCTATCATTGATGGGGTTCAGGGTGCTCTTTGATGGCAGGCGAACTATAAATTTCAGCAGTTACAACTCCCAAACGTCAAAGTCTATTTTCCCCAAATTCCACCAATGTTCGCATTTGGGCATATTGGGTATCTATGCCAAGTTTGGTCCAGATCCATCATTGTTTGAATCCACAGTGCTCTCTGGATGTAGGTGAACTACAACTCCAAAACTCAATGCCCACCAAGCCCTTCCAGTATTTGCTATTGGTCATGGGAATTCTGAGTGCCAAATTTGGTTCAATTCCATTGTTGGTAGAGTTCGAAATGCTCTTTGATTGTAGGTGAACTATAAATCCCAGCAACTACAACTCCCAAATGACAATACCAGCCCCCCCCCCCTCCCCCAACCTCACCAGTATTCAAATTTGGGCGTATTGGGTATTTGTGCAAAATTTGGTCCAGTGAATGAAAATATATCCTGCATATCAGATATTTACATTATGATTCATAAGAGTAGCAGAATTACAGTTATGAAGTCACAGTGAAAATAATGTTATGGTTGGGGGGTCACCACAACATGATGGACTGTATTCAGGGGTCGCAGCATTAGGAGGGTTGAGAGACACTATGTACATTGGGTTGTTGTAGGTCAGGGGTCATCAAACTTTTTAAACAGAGGGCCAGGTCACAATCCCTTAAACTGTTGGAGGGCCGGATTATAATTTGAAAAAAACATGAATGAATTCATATGCACACTGCACATAACTTATTTGTAGTGCAAAAAAACCCACTTAAAAACAATACAATTATTAAAATGAAGAACAATTTTAACAAATATAAACTTATTAGTATTTCAATGGGAAGTGTGGGCCTACTTTTGGATTGTTGTTGTTGTGTGCTTTCAAGTCATTACAGACTTAGGTTGACCCTGAGTGAGGGCCAGGTAAATGACCTTGGAGGGCCATATCTGGCCCCGGGGCCTTAGTTTGAGGACCGCTGTTGTAGGTTATTTGGGCAATATGGCCATGTTCTAAAAGCATTCTGTGCTGATGTTTTGCCTGCATCTAGTGAGGTCCTCACAACCTCTGAGGATGCCTGCCATAGATGCAAGCAAAATGCCAGGAGAGAGTGCTTCTAGAATATGGCCATTTAGCCCAAAAAACCTATAAAAATCCAGTGATTCCAGCCATGGAAGCCTTCGACAATACACTGATGTGCATGTTAAAAAGCATAGAGTCCCCACAGGTCAATGGCCAGGGGTCCGAGCAGGTGTCCCAGACCATCACCATCTGGGTACAATCCTCCAGGAAGGAGTGGAGCCACTGCAACGCAGTGTCCCCAAGACCCATTCCGGAGAGCTGGCCCAGAAGGATACCATGATCAATGGTATCGAAGACCGCTGAGATGTCCAAGAGAACCAGCAATGATAGTTGTGTTCTGCTCTATCATACAATTATAGTTGAATTCTTAGGCACCCCTCAGTGGCGCAGAGGGTTAATCCCCTGTGCCAGCAGGACTGAAGACCAACAGGTTGCAGGTTCGAATCCGCGGATGAGCTCCATCTATCAGCTTCAGCTCCTCATGTGGGACATGAGAGAAGCCTCCTACAAAGATGGTAAAACATCAAAAACATCCGGGCGTTCCCTGGGCAACGTCCTTGCAGACAGCCAATTCTCTCACACCAGAAGTGACTTGCAGTTTCTCAAGTCGCTCCTGACACTACATAAAAAAAGAAAAGTTGAATTCTGCCCTTTTCTCAAGGAGCTTTGCAGGAGCATATTTTTTTCTATGGAGTGAAAATCTGAATATTTTATTTGTATACTGCTGATCACTGAAAGACTGGGTAAATAACAGCATGTGGAAATCAGGATATTTGTTTTATTGACAGAGATTGCTCTTCTGCTTCTTTGTTGGCCATTGGGAGCCAGCTGAAAAGAAGCATCGCAAACTATTATTCTGCAGCTTTGGCAACTCTCCAGTGTGGAGGCTGATGAGGAGAACTGTTTCTCTCTCAGCACTTACAATCCAAAGCGTCCCCAAAGAGAAGGCATTCTGGTTTGCTTTGGGAAGTTATGATGCAGTGCAGGAGGAGGTAAAGTGGTTTATCTCAAGGAAATTACACCCACAACGTCCATTCTGCAACAATTAAATTTCCCACTGAGCCTTGTAGCAGGTGGAGAACCCGCTACATGGTAGTTTGAAGATCTGTATTGACGTTTCTAAGGGCTTTGCATATGATTGCAAGTTGAGTTAGGCTTGCCTCTTGGAGCTCTCAGGAAAAGAGGCTGTAAATGTGTTATCTCCCTGTGCAGATACTCATACTATCCTTGTGCATTCAAAGAAACACCAATAGAAATGTTTGTGCTCAATAATAATACTGTAATAATAATACACTTCATTTATATTCCGATTTATCTCCCCGGAGGGACTCAGAGCAGATTACAGTACACATATAAGGCAAACATTCAATGCCTTTTACACAACGAACAACGACATATAATACACAGATAAGGTAAAGGCCTTCCCCTTTATCTTTGGCGTATGAAGACGATGCTCAACTTCTGGCCATGGGGAGGTGCTCTTGTTTCATTTTTCATGCTGACGAGCCTGCTGTACGTAGACATCTCTGATCTTTTTGCCAGCATGTCTGCATGGGACACCCCTTTACCTTCCTGCCAAGGTGGTATCTATTGATTTACTTGCATTGCATGCTCTCAAACTGGCAGAAGCTAGGGCTAACAGGTGGGAGCTCACCCTAACTCACTGCTTTGACTTGCTAACACTTTTTCTGCAGCTAGCTGTTTTAACCGCTGTGCTACTGCAGCCTCTAACCCGTCTTCCTCTGTGTGTATATGTGTCTTCAGGTTGCCTGTTAAAAGTATGGCAACCTGAACAAACACAAAACAATCCATGTAAGGAGAAGGTATAATATCCAAAGAGCATATAGTATACAATTTTACCAAAATCCCAAGTACACAGCTCAATTCAGGGGCATAAAGCAAAAAGAAAAGGAGCAGCAACTCTCAAACGTAACAGTTCTAAATCTGATATAGATCCCAATGTATATAGGCTTTAGGGATACATGTTCAATGAAAAAATAGGGATACCAAGGTGCTTGTTTATAAAGCTATTGTCCTCCCAAACCTGCTGTATATGCCTGTGAGACGTGGACTGGCTACAGATGTCACATGCAACCCCTGAAACGATTCCATCAGCACTGCCTCCAGAAAATCCTGCAAATCTCTTTGGAAGACAAACGGACAAATGTCAGTGTGCTGGAAGAAGCAAAGACCACCAGCACTGAAATGATTCTCCTCCGCCATCAACTCCGCTGGACCGGCCACGTTGTCCGGATGCCCAACCACCATCTCCCAAAGCAGTTGCTCTACTCCGAACGAAAAATGGAATGTTGGTGGGCAGGAAAAGAGATTGAAAGATGGGCTCAAAGCCA